CTGGATTCGTTGGGCTTACCAGGGCTAGGCGATAGTGGCTTTTGTTGAATCGTTAACTGAAATTTATTGTAGACCACAAGCGATGAATGAATACCAGCTGACGCCTCTTCACTGGGACACAAAGAAGAGAGGATCTACAGTGCTATCAAGACTATTGCGACTAGTTTTTCCCGAGTTCGAAACTGCGAGCCTCCACTTGAGCCAGAGCCAGAGTCCGGTAAGTTGTTCTCACAGTATAACCATAGGTACACGGTAATTTTTGTAAGAATTGATTTTCTGTGGCCTTGTTCTGTGTAGATATTAATAGTATAATATTGAGCTTATTTATAATGACACATAGTAATAAATAAATAGATGCACTCACACATATATACCTATTTAAAGCATTTTGCAGCGGCAATTATTTCTTGCTCTTTGTGTTCTCGAGGACCAACTTGTAATTAGTAGACTCTTCTGGGAGGTTATCCGAAATAGATATGTCCTCCGCCACACTTTGAAGAGTCCCTATGAAGCTTGCACCTGTCGATGTGCTTCGTGGCTCAGCTGGCAAGATGCCGGTAAACTGGCTTTTACAAAGGGTTCGGATCCGTGCCTGATTCTTGTCCAGAAAACGTCAAAAAGAAGGATAATTACAATATATTCCACGAAAAATGCAATAGGAGTAATTGACAATAGTAACAAGGCCCTTGCATCGTTTACATCTATTTGCTAAAAATACCTCGTCCCCTGTCCCCAGATAAAACGGCCGACATTATCTGCGAAGCTGTCGGAATCGACTTATTGGCTCTGAACATCCAGCGTGGGCGTGAGCACGGTTTGGCTGAGATACACGGCAGTGCAGCGGCCTGCAATATCAGGGAATAATCAACATCATCGCAGACCTGACAAAACAGCATGGACCAAAAAGTCATTGACCGCCTCAAGATGTGTACAGTAAGTGTAACAAGTAATGATTTATTTATGACATTAGTTAGATATTCGTTGCTAATGTAAAGACGAATTTAATAGGAATCATTTATTTGTTATTGTTATTGACATTATTCGTATCATATTATGTAGAACATGTCTGATATCACTTATGATTGTGATAATTATTGCTTTTATTATTTTTAGGGCACATTAGTATTTATTATTATGATGTAGACCCGAGTCTTTGCACCACTAATGCAAGCGTCTCAGCCACGAATTTTGATCGCAGCGACGTAAGGATACCTGTGATCTCTTGATCGGTGCAGCTTTTGACGACCAGTCCCCGTGGAGAGCTGGGACCCGTTGATTGCGTTCTGGCTGAGCGAGTTCTCCAGAATTCGCCAGCAGACAGGATACTGGTACGGAAACTCATATCAACGATACTAAGGTTCGAACGATGGTAAGTTCCACGGATCGCTTGTTCTCATACCAAGCAAACAGAAATTAGAATGGATAGTAAGAAATTGTTTTTATCATAAACTAAATTTTCCTTTTCAAATTCCATTTTTAAAATATATTTTTTCTGTGACAGATAACTGAAGGGCATGCACAGTACGACTCTTGCGGCCATCATGTGCGACGCTTCCCTGAACTGCTGGTGGTTCCAGGAGCGTCCTGGAGGTGGTGTCGACATAGAACCGTCTGGTGTCTTGTGGGGACACGTACCCGTATGGGACTGAGGCATGGACTCATAAGAGAAATTAAAACACATCAAGAGCTACATTCTTGGAGGACGTTTACTTGTGTGTAATTGAAACAAAGTAAACATCGCATTCAGAAACTGTTTTATTGACCTCACGGAATCATTAGGCTGCTCATCAAATAATCTTTGACAGTATAATTAGTATATCTGAAAATTAAATCAAACTGAAGAAATATCAGGCTATTATGCATACCACTGCATCGTAATGACAGGGATAGAAACGCCCTTACACCTTATATAATTCAAGTCATGAAAATAAGTATA